TTTTTTTTTTTTTTTCAACTCGTAATTGCGCTGGATCACGTGTGCCCGTGCGCTACGCGGGGCATCACGTGCACAACTTGCGCGCACGTGATGCGCCGCATGTATGGTACTAATTAAAAACAATAATAGTAAAAAAAGAAGGGACTGCGAAGCTACAAGGGGATTTCCAATATTTCAAAAGTAAGCATGACACAGAAAAGAAAAGAACAGCACATCACGTGGATTTTATTATTTTTTTCTTTTTTCTTTTTTCTTTTCCCCTTCCAGTTTTAGGGCCATTTGGTCCTCGGTCCTTTCTACTCTCTTGCGGGGATCATCAGTCCGGTTCATTTTCCAACAGCACGCTTCAAACTGCTTACTATAAAAAGAATTTAATACAATTAAAAAAAACAAACAAACATAGACATCAACTTTTCCTAGATTTGTTCAATTTTGTTGTCAATTCATCAAAACAATTTTTCGATTGAAAATTGAAATACATCCCTGTGTTGTTCCCATTCCAGAGTCCAAAGTTCTCCACACTCTTTCAATCCAGAGAGAAACCACAATAGTTGAAATGCAGATGCAATTTCGCAAACCGTTTTGAACTCGTATACATGGTGGCGTTATGAACACACTTTCTGAGAGGGAGGAGATAAACACGAAGCAGGAATACACAATAACTTGCAGACAAGCCCTCCGTAACTTCTTACTGGATTACATTACCCTCAGTAACTTGCAGACAAATTGCAGACAAAACTCTCCATAACTTTGTCCTAGCTCACGTTACCCTCAGTAACTTGCAGACAAGCTGCAGACAAGCCCTCTGTACCTTCTTACAGCATCACATTACCCTTTGTAACTTGCCTACAAATTGCAGACAAGCCCTCAGTAACTTCTTACTGGATCCCGCGTTACCCTCAGTAACTTCTTACTGGATCACGCGTTACCCTCAGTAACTTACTAGTCATCGCCTTTCTCCCCTTGCCGACCAAACCCAAGCCAAATACATTTTAGGCTAAAACCGTTCTGTTCCAACACTGAGTGAGGTCTCGAACAATCAACACGATCTAGATTCCAATCTAATACTCGATTGGTCGGACCGGTCCGTGTTCGTATCTCAGTCAAGGAACACGTGAGAGCCTGCAACATCACTCTCCACTGACTGTCTAGATGAATCCAAGATCGGATACGAGACTGACTGGGCCCTTTGTAAATAAGAAAGAGGCACAGAGCTGACGGATCTCCAAGAAACAAACAAATGCGAAGGCAAGGCCTTCGTTCGGCACAGGAAGACTTGAGGAAATCAATGAGGGCAGACTCACACGAGGACTTCCTGAACTGAATCCGACGGGCAATCCAAGCCAAATGCATTCAAGAAAGTCCCAGTGTGAACATGCCCTCAGGCTAATCATTGCCTTTCTCCCCTCCCCAACCAGACCCAAGCCCAATACATTCACAGGAAGACTTGAGAAATCAATGAGGGCAGACTCACACGAGGACTTCCTGAACTGAATCCG